TTGAGGTGGTTGAGCTCCGCCAGGACGTCGGCGAGGAAGTAGAGGAGGTACTGGAACTTGAAGGATGTCACGATGTCGTAGAGGTGGCTCCCGGCTTCTCGAAGCAGGACGATCACCGCAGGGAGCACATCCGCGAAGCGGCGCACTGGCTTCACCTCTTGCAAGCTAGCGGATGGCGTATATCCCCTGGGCTTCAAGGTTGGTGAAGCAGAAAACCATCTGCAGGTCCATGAAACGCGAGTGCTGTACGTTCGAGCGCCCGACAAACTCGGCGAAGCCACGGATGACGGTGTCGACAATCTGTAGCGCTGGGTTTAGGTTCGCCGTGTCCTTCGCCGCCAACGACTCCCTGTGATAAGGCGGGAGGAAAGAAGGAGATGGAATGTAAACATAGGATGCATGGGCAGCAAAGGGATTTGAGTGTTTGAACCATGTCAGCAAACCGACCTGTGAGCAATGCAGTGAGCAGAAAAGAGATGTTCAATCCTTGCACGAAGACGGGCCACCACGCCGGCTCCGTCGGTGGCAACACCGACGATCCCCTGCAGATCCAGCTCGATAGACTAAAGGTAGTGCACGAGAACGGCGGAGAGGGAAGCCGTGTCGGTGCGGTCGACGGTCAGGAGCGTCATAAACTCTGTCACGACGGCCGACCCCTTGAAGAAAGTAGCATACAAGATAAGGTGCTTGCCATGCACCTATCCATGCTTTCATCGATCGAGATGCTGACAAACGGGGAGGCCCAGATGTGCTCCACCTGGCAGTCGCGAAGTTAGGTAGCCTTCAAGCACTCCTTGAATCCGTAGCTGTGGGGAGTGTGGCGCAAGGGGAGCAACATCAAACCGAGTTAGTATTCATTATGTAAGGTGAAGAAATATTTCGATGCATGTGGAAAGCAAGATACACAACCGAAAACTGTTCAAAGGCGTAGGCTAAAACAACTTACTCGGTATAGTAGGTTCCGTACGCCCCTCCTGGCGGGAGATCTGGCAGTCCTTCACGAGCGAGGAAGAAGCAGAGCGCGACGAACATGGCGATCGGCGCATCCGCCTTGTAGACGAAGAGGGCGATGTGGAGGCACCGAATCAGGTGCTTCGTTGAAGCGTCCGTCCTTTGCCACCGGTCGAGGGTGCGCTGGCGATCCAATCCCGCTCCTTGTCTTCTCTCGCCGCGAGAGCGTCCTTGTGCGCTCGGGTTCCGAGATGAGTGCGGATGCTGCCGACCTGCAGGTCGCGTCCGCCCTTGCTTTTCCTCCCGTATTTCGTATTGCTGAAAACGTCGCCGTACTGCAGACATATCGCGCACTTCAGTGATGGCGGCCATTCTTCATACGATGCAGGCGCAACCACGTGAAGCGACGGGACCAGTCATCGACGTAGCGGCGGTTGACGATGTCGTACTCCGTATCGACATCGGTGCCCGGGTACTGCGAGGCGGAGGAGGAGGAGGCGGTGTTGCCACTGGGGTCAGAGGTTCCTTAGGCGGTGGCGCAAAAGGGAGACACTGCTGCGTGTATCCACTGCGCTTACGCTTGGCAGGTGCTGGAGACTCTCTAGCATGGCCCGAGGAACCTTCACCGGCGGATGCGCACGGCTGGGCGGTGGGAGCCAGGCTCAAAAGGGTAGCTGAAGGGTGGCGTATCCGCATGGGGCAGCGAGACAGCAGGAGGCGGCCCCTTGCTGGTGTCGTTTCTGTGCGCGGCGACGAGACTGCACGAGGAGACCTCAATGGAGGGGGGACTGTGATGCACGGGAAAGGGTCAATACGAGTATCGGCAACCTCCAAACGGCGCCCTGCCTTGTAGGACGCACAAGAAAATCCAGCGCTGACTATGTTACAGCAGGGCACTGGCTTGCCCTGCGGCTTCCTTGCTGCTGCGCCGTTTTGAGCCTTGCACCTGCCATCCCTCATCGTCGCTCATGGCGTGAGACGGTGAGTGAGAGACGGTCAAGCAGGTGGTGCAGAGAGACGACACAGAGCAGCTAGCGAAGATGGGGCGAAAAAACTGAGTGAGCTACAAGCCTTTTGCTACGTTTGCCCGCACCGCATGAAAGCGATGAACCAGGAGGAGCATGCTCGCTGGGACGAGGTGGGGTTGAGTGGTGGTCGCACCACGCGATACGGTGTGCAGCGTGCATGCCCGCTTGATCGAAAGACAGGTGCATTGTCATCGGCCTGGCAGGTAGCGGTGCTCAGTAGTAACATGACACGACCCCGATTGGTTGGTAAACCCCTGACTTCGCCCTATGCAATTCCCGCTCCTAGCAGCTGTTCCAGCACACCCTCTCCTCCACGAAGCTGCTTGTAATTTTGACTAAGGACCAATCACCAGCCTCCTCTCACATGCTCTTTGACGAGGGATGTGATTTTGTCCCCGTACCTTCAGTAGACAGTGGTACGACCGTGGGAGGCTTGAGAGGAAAGATCCCCAGTATGCTAAGGCTGTCACAAGGACGGGACTGAGGGAGTTCGTAGTCATTGTCGACTGTCATCTACTGGTTCTGCTCGAGAAAGCTAGTGAGAGGGAGTTCTCCTAGGGAAGGGTGATAACACGGGTCTAGTTTTGGGGGATAAAGAAGTCGATGGAAGGGATGGAGGGCCAGCCGTCGTCACCCAGCAGAGATTCCTCATGCAGTCACACGGGCCGCGTTCAAGCATGAGCTTTCGAAGTCCCATCTATGCTGGAACTAAAAGGCTCGCACTGAGGGCGCGGTTCATGCGTCACATGCAATAAACTCTCGTCGGCTGGGACTAAGGCAATATTGCTGCCAAAGCGACTAATAGCGGGCCTAACAAAAGCTGACGCACGGACAGCTGGAGGGGAAAATTCGACACTGCGGGTGGGCAGGTGGCAAACGGCCGCAGGTGGTAGGAATGTGGATGGCATTTGCTGATGGTGTGCGAGGAAAAACGCCACGCGTAAAGCACTTGACTGTTTTACATTAAGGGTAATTTTCGGGCCACCTTGACGTATCAGGGTTGGCCGGGCGCACACCCGGATTTAGCCAAGGTAAAAAGAAAGGAACACTTTCTACATCGGGGTTAAGAATTTTCAAACCCTGAAAAATCAGACTAGTAAAAAAAATGAAGCATCAGGGAAATCAGGGCATTTCTATCAGAAAGAAAATGATTGAACTAGAATATGTGCGTACAAGGATATATAGACTAGGGTGTTGTACCCTCTAATGCACAATCCAGTATAGTCTACAGTAACAACCTAAGTTACATTTGACACACCCCCTAGACTATATAGGGGCAGTGCCTAACAAGGGAAGAAGCAGCTCAGGGCGGCACTACTAGTCCAGCCTCTGAGACAAGGGTCTAAAGACCAGTCAAAAGGACAAGGCAAGAGCAAGCCCAAGGCGGCACTACTAGTCCAGCCACTGGGAGAGGCCACAAGGCCAGTCTGGGTAAAATATAGATATAAAGGACAGTACAAAGTCAAGGCCCTAGCAAGTGAGAGGCTACAGGAACGAGACCCAGCTGTACACAGTGCCGCTGATGATCTTTAGGCGCAATCGTCTTCGTAAAGATATCAGCTGTGTTGGCACCGGAGGCCAAGTGTACTACACGCGCCTGGCGGCGCTGCTGCAGCTCACGCAGGAGGAAGTACCGCAGCTGAATATGCTTCGCTCTGCCCTCGAGTCAAGGCTCCTGACATAGGAGGATCATGGCCCTGTTGTCAGCGTACAGGACCGAGGCAGAGCTAGGCCACTCACCTAAGTCAGTGAGCAAGAAGGTCAGCCAACGGAGCTCCTGTGCTGCCATGGCACCGGCGTAGATCTCGGCCTCACAGCTAGACTGGGCAACAGATGAGGAGCGGGTAGCTCTCCACGAGACGGCACCTGAACCAAGGCTGAAGCAGTAGCCCTGTGAGGACCTGAGGGTCTCGGCGTCGTCTGCCCAAGAAGCGTCTGTGTGTCCAGTAAGGACCACTGGCCTACGTCCTCCTAGCACTAACCCGATGCCCGATGCACTTGCAAGATAATGCAAAACCCTCTTAGCAGCAGACCAGTTGAGGTCGGCGTCTGCTTGTAGCCACAAAGCGAGCCAAGATGCTGAGAGGTTATGCGAGATCTGGGCGCGTGCAAGTCATCAGGTACATGAGGCAACCCACCAGCTCTGCGTAGGGACCACTGGGCTGTGCTGACTCCTCAAGAACTGGAGCGAAGGGCATGTGGTCTAGAGGCAGAGGAGTAGGCTGTGCGGAGGAGAAGTGGAGGCCGAACCTCTGAAGGACCTGGCGCACCAAGTGTGACTGAGTCAAAGTGATGGTGCGGCTGCTCTGTCCCTGGAGATCTGCAAGCCAAGGTAGTGACGCAGTTCTCCAAGGTCAGTGCAGATGTGTCTCTTCAGCAGCTCTGCCTTCACGGAGGCCAGTGCGTCCCTGTCTGCCGTGGCGAAGACCAGGTCGTCTACGTAAGCAAGGATGTAGAACAGAGTCTGGCTAGCACGAACAAAGAGCGAGGGTCTGCAGAGGACGGAAAGAACTGCAGGTCAGCAAGCGTAGCACGCAGCGTGTCGTGCCACTCACGGGAAGCCTGCCGCAGGCCGTAGACGGGGCGCCGCAGGAGCCACTGGTCCCAGGAGGGAAGGTACCAGTGAAAGCCCTGAGGGCGACGCAGGTAGACCTGCTCGTGTAGACTGCCCCTGAAGAAACGCAGTGGAGAAGTCGAGGGAGTGAAGCTCATAGTCACGCTGCGCTGCTACGTGTAGTAGCACCCGAAGAGTAGTCATCTTCCGGGTCGGAGCGAAGGTCAGGAAGAAGTCCACCCCCTCACGCTGACTGAAACCTCTAGCCACGTAGCGCGCCCTTGAACACAGGTGGCTCTCCAGGAGGGCGCTTCACCTTGAAGAGCCAGCGGCCATCAACTACGTTCACCCTAGGTGGGGGAACTGCGTCGACGTAGGTCCCGGTGGATCTCCAAGATGCCATCTCCTTCTCCATGGCAGCTTTTCACTGAGAGGCCCAGGGTCCCGAGACCGCCTTAGCGTAAGTGCGAGGGTCGGATGTCGAAAGCGTCAGGGTCACCCTGAGGGACTAGAAGCATGGAACAGAGATGGGGAGCAGCCTCGGAAAGGAAAGCAAGCTCGTACTGACGGTAGATTTTTCGAAGCTGCGGACTCGACCTCGTACTCGGGTTCATTGTGGACAAGGACGGGCAGCGGCGGCGGCGGTGGCGTCCGACGAAGATCGTGTTCGGATCCCGGTAGGGCTTCAGAAGCTGGACATGGAAGGCGTTGTGAATCTTCCAGGTAGTTGGCAGGCGTAAGCGGAAGGTAACAGGAGTGACCTGTGCTTCAACGAGAAAAGGCCCGCAGAAGCGAGGTCGAAGTTTAGATGGAGGTGGCTGATGTCCAGGTTGCGGGTGTCAAGAAGCACCTGGTCTCCCACCGTGATGGTGTGGTCGTTGCGATGGCGTCCGGCCTGGCGCTTTTGTTGCTGTTGAATGTCGAGGAGGCGCTTATGGGTCCGATCCCAAAGCTGATGCATGGTTGTGATGAAATCATGTGCAGGTTGTACCGTAGCGGATGTTGTCGGTTTCTGTGGTGTGAGTGGGTGGCATCCGTAGCAGAGGAAGAACGGCGTCTGTCCAGTAGCGGCATGCGTAGCATTGTTGTAAGCAAACTCTAGTACGGGCAGGTGCAAGTCCCATTTGGAGATGTCGTCCTTGCAGGCTGCTCGGAGGAGTTGCTCAACAATTTGGTTGAGGCGCTCGGTCTGTCCGTCTGTCTGCGGATGGTATGCGGATGACAGGGCGAGTTTGGTCCCGAGAAGAGACATAAGTTCCTTCCAGAACTTGCTGGTGAACTTGGGGTCTCGGTCGGAAATGAGTGTGGTTGGGATGCCATGCTGTGAGATGATGTGACGAACGAAGAGCTGTGCTGTCTCCTCGGTGCGTGCCGTCGTGTGTGTCGGGATGAAGTGTCCCATTTTGGAGAACTTGTCAATGACGACAAGGATTGCGTCATGACTGCTGGTGGTAGGTGGTAACCCGGTGATGAAGTCTAGGCTAACCACTTGCCATGGCTGTTCTGGGACAGGAAGAGGCTGCAGTAGTCCCGCCTTTTTCTGCTTGCTGCTCTTCAATCCGCTGACATGTATCACACGAGGTGACGAATTTCTGGACGTCGTCTGCCATGTGGGGCCAGTAGTAGTGTTTGGCGATACCGGTGAGCGTCTTGTTGCTACCGAAGTGTCCGGCGTACAGGACGTCGTGGTATTCTTCGAGTAGTAACTGGCGCAAAGGAGGGTAATTTGGTACCCAGATTTTTGTTGATCCTTTCTGGTACGCGATGTTGCTGTCCCACTGTAGCAGATGTCGTTTTTCTGCCAAGGGAATTTCGGGGTCGATGGCGTACCCGTGTGTGAAGAGTCCCTTGAGTAGTGGATTCATCCCTTCAATCTGAATGGCGGCAACGTGTGCAGGCCGGCTAAGAGCGTCTGCTTTGTTTTTGTGACCGGGCTTGTACACGATGTCGTAGTGGAAGTGTGTCTCGAGGAAGTCGATCCACCGGACCTGCCGCCTGGAAAGATTGGGTTGTGTCTTCAAGTATTTCAGGCTGCAGTGGTCGGTGTAGACGGTTGTTCGTCGTCCTTCGAGATAACATCTCCACGCTTTAAAGGCGATGACGATGGCAAGGGCCTCTTTGTCGTGTATCGGGTAGTTTAGTTCTGCTCCGTGTAGTTTCTTGCTGAGGTAGGCGATTGGTTGCAGTCCATTCCCCTGGTCTTGCATTAAGACTGCCCCCACTGCCTGGTCGCTGGCGTCAGCTTCGATTACGTAGTCGCGTTCGGGATCTGGCAAGATGAGTACCGGTGCGGACGTGAGTGCTTGTTTCAGCTGCTCCACGGCTTCCTGGTGCTTTGGTTCCCATTTATAGGGCGTGTTCTTCTTCAGCAGATTCGTGAGTGGTGCTGCGATTTTCGCATATTGTGGCACGAACCTATTGTAGTAATTAGCGAAGCCTAGGAACTGCTGCAACTCCTTCACGTTCTCGGGTGTCTTCCACGTGCGTACGGCCTCGATTTTCTTGGGGTCGACGTGAACTCCTTGAGCGCTCACCATGTGCCCTAGGAACTGGACCTTTTCAAGGGCGAATTTGCTCTTGGACAGTTTGACGTAGAATCGTTCCCGTCGAAGAATTTCGTCACTGCCGAGGGCAGGAGCACTCCTGACAGACGGGTAGAGGCGAAGTCAGCGACCGCAGCGACAAGGGCGTCAAGACTCAAAACCGGAACAGACGGGTCGGTAACGAGAGAGGCAAGGACCCGAGAACAAGAGGACGAGCGGCACGCATGCAGCCAGACAGAGGGGGGGGCAACGACAAGGGAGGACGGAGGGGGCGACGGGAGAAGGGGAGGACGAGACGCGTGGCAACGGAGCAATATAGGGTGAGAGCGCGAGACAGGAGAGACAGGTCGAGCACGGGAGGGACGGTGAGATCAGACGTGAGACGGGGGAGTCAGGTCAGGAGACAGAGGAGGGACACAGGAGGGAACGAGGGGGAAACGGGCCAAAGACACATCCGAAGGAGGGAACACAGGGCCGGAGACAGGAGGAGGAGGAGGCACGGGCACGGGGTCAGGGGACGGAAGGCCGAGCAGGCGAAGAGCGGACACCGGCGGGGACTGCTGTAACGGCGGTGTGACGCTAACACCGGACCGCAAGCTGCCGGACGACTACCTCCAGAACACTCCACACCAGTACTGTCACCCTGCGTATAGCCACGCGAGGCTATTGGCTTTAAGGGATTACGGCAGGATTACGCTAGATATTGCGCGCCAGTACATCCCGAGCCTGGTCGGTGATATAATCATAATAACAGGATAAACCAAAGGATAATGGAAAAGGAGGAATAGGAATCCAAATGAGATGAGATAAAGACCAAAGGAATCAGGATAAAAGAGGAATGAAATAGAAAGGAAATGTGGAAAGGGAAAGTGGGGTAACGGGGTCGTACTCTCACACTTCCCCCTCTCAAAGCTGGGTGTAGAAGTAACACCCTGCTTGACAAGGTAGTCGCGAAGAGGACGACGGCGTTACCCATGTCGAATTCGGAGAAGCAGCCTCAGAAGTATCATAACCCTTCCAGCAAATAAGAAGCTCCAGAGTGCCATTCTGACGACGACGGTGCCCGAGTACGTAGTTGTCCCATGGCGTGGACGAACACGGGCGGCGACGGTGGTTGGCATTCAGTGTAGAGCGTGTTTGGTCTTCATAGGGTTTAAGAAGCTAGTATGGAAGGCGTTATGGATCTTCCAAGTGGCTGGTAGGTGGAAGCGGAAGGTGAATGAAGTGACCTTCGCTTCAACGAGGATAGGCCCGCAGAAGCGAGGTCGTAGTTTGGATGGGAGATGGCCGATATCAAGATTGCGCGTGTCGAGCAGTATTCGGTCTCCCACGGTGATGGTGTGGTCTGTGCGGTGGGGATCGGGTGGCGTCCGTAACAGAGAAAGTATGACGTCTGTCCAGTAGCGGCGTGAGTAGCAATTCTTGTAGGCAAACTCCAGGACGGGCAGATGCAAGTCCCACTTGGAGATTTCGTCCTTGCGGGCTGCGCGGAGTAGTTGCTCTACAATTTGGTTAAGACGCTCTTGTTTGGCCATCTGTCTACGGATGGTATGCGGATGACATGGCGATGGAATTGTAAGCAGGTTGGACTGTAGCAAGAACTGTCCTGTTGCTACGGAATGAGCGAGCTCCGTCCACAGTAAGGAAGGATGGTGTGTATCGCCGTCAGTGATTTATGGGCAGATGCAAGTTGCAGTTGGAGATGGTGAATGGTTGGAACAGTGTGCTGTAACCTGCCGATGAATGGCTATGTTGTCCGTTCTGTGCATGCCTGAAGATCACTTGCATCTCGTCCACGCCTGAAGATCACCAAGTGTTGGTGGTATGGGCAGTCGTGTCATAGTACTGCTTCTGTCGCTGTGTTGTATCCGATACATGCAGCTTCTTTCGAATGCTGGTCCATGCCGTAGTGTTTTCGCAAGTTGTACCCTCTCGGCATCGTACTGCTGCGGAATGGAGAGCAGAATCACTAGTAGTAACCCTGTCCACCACGCGGTCTGCTAGTCCCACTGCCTTGAGTACAACAGCGCATGCGAAGTGCTGCTCAGCGTATCCCTTGTGTTCAAAAAACCATGCGAGGGGTTGGTACCATAAACGCGGAGCTGGTAACTTCCAGAATCGGCGCCAAAGTGGTTTCCCTCGGTGGTTGCTCAGCAAGGAATCTCAGCTGCGTAGATATCCCACAGTGATGGGTTAGGATACTTGGGAATATTAGGGGCATTCCCAAATAATCCTCTCCCATTTCCAAATTGGCATTGCTGACAGCCAATCGAGTATGACCTTATGCACGTCCAGTTTAGCACGGAGGCCAATCGCTAGGCATCGGTGTCTGGGTGCACATATTGGGATAGTCTTCTGGTGCCATCATGTGTTGTCTCATTCTGTTACTGTCCTTGAAGTAGCGTTGATATCGAAGACGTCTCAGCTAGTCAGCATCAGTGTTGAAGTCTGCTCCATTTCGGCAATAGGGGTGTTGTTGGAGATACGCGGAGTCCACTATCCGGAGTGGCGTCGGCGCTCCATTTTACGCCTATCTGCTTCCGTGGAGTTGGTGCTGGTGATGGATTGGTTGTAACGCAGGTTTTATGACTTTAAGGAAAGCCATAGGCCATGAGGACTTGTATACCGGTAGAGTACCGTTGTCCTCCCATCTCATAAGAGCAAATATCTTTTGCTCTTGAGGGTATATGGCATTGCCATGTTGTTCCTCGCATAGTGGTATCTCCTTCCCACTAGCTGGAAATCATAGTATTGTGCCTGGCCGGGTCTTTACGATCCACTGGAATATAATCCAGCATTATCTCCATTGAGCGGAGAATCATCCATCAGGATTTGGATATGACTGTTGTGTCGAGTCTTCTGCTGCGGCGGCGGCGGCGGTTGCGACGATGGCGACGGCGGCAGCTGCTGCAGAGAATTCTCTTAACTCGTATCGGTTGAAGGAGAATCCATCAACTCCCTCTTCCCAGTAGAGTGTTCCTGATGGGTGTAACAGGCGTAACTACCAGGAACACGTGCACATTAGTACACATGTGTTGCTCCATTGCTGCCGGTGATTGTTTCATTTGAGGGTATGAAGAGAAATTTGCTTCTCCCCTCAATGTATCCACGGGTAGCAATTCCTGGTATGCTCATCCGTGCCTCCGATGTACGGTCGGTAGAGCGCGTGATCGTGTTGTAGTAGTCCGCATCTCCCTCATTTGTTGACACCTCGTGTTGCTTGGCGTTCTCCTGCATCGTCGAAGTTACGCGTGCTTGTAACGCTTCGGCTTCTGGTAGAATCGCCTCCAATGCATGTGCCGTAGGGTCGCTAGTGAACGAGTACTTGCCGGATTAGAGGTTAATTACTCCTCAATCTGTCAAGCATCGTGACATGCACGGAATTTTCCACGCAGGTCATTAACACCTGGAATCGCGACGCATGATTGGTGTGTCGCCTCGTGAGGTTGATGTTGAGACTGCTCCAATCAATCACTTCGGATGGCTGAGATTCTTGATGAAGAGAATCGTCAGCTCCTGTTACGAAGTAGTGTCTCGCTGGCCTTGACGAGACGGGTTCACTGCGTCGTCGTTGCGTGCGAAATCTGCTCCTTCGCAGCAACTTGAACTTGGGAGCATTGCAAGAGAAAACGGCTACTTCTCTGCAATCCCATAGCTTGTCGATCAATTTGTATGAAGAAGTGTCTCATGGATGGAGAACATGTCTTCACGCAGCTCCATTGTTTTTCCTGGGTGAAAATCTCGCGTGTTGATGTCGATCCATTTTTAACGAAGATGACTTCGTCAAAATAACTCGATCGTTATCGACACCAGTCAGAAGATGCGTCGATTGTGCAGTCGCTGGTCACGAATGTTGTCTCCATGATGATGATTTTCCATAGTGTAGTCTCCGCTGCATTCGTGCCGTTGATTCCGCACAGATCCGATGATCCACGTTCTCCTGTCAGTTTTCTGCTTGCAGCTATTACCAAGTAGGTAATTCTTCGGCAGATTTCTGACCCTGCAGATGATTCGCGCGCCAAATTCGTCACCAAATAAAGGAATTCGATTTTGGTCGTTTAGATGAAGAAACGGTGTCGAAGGCGGATTTCTGTTCTGCGCGTCATTCTCCCTTAGTGCAGAAGTCGTGCTCCATCTCGTCCGTTGAAGTAGAAGTCGATCCGACGGTCCAAACTCCAAGCTATCCGAGGATATTCCTGGGTCGCGTTCATCAGCTTTCCGTGCTCGGGTCTCTCGTTTCATGCAGCAATTCTCGGTCGTCGATGTCGGCTGTCGAACGATCGGACGCTCTGAAGAATTTTGCAGCTTGCGAGGTCCCGTTCCCGTTCCCGCTGAAACTCAAACTCGCTCAGCAGGATTTCGTTTTCGCTTTGGTCGATCTGAAGCGTCGAATCCTCATCGGACGGATGTCGTCGGTCGCAGCTCCGCACATTTCCGCGCAACTCCAAGTGTCGTCGCGAACTGCGAACTCCTCGGAATGTCGCAGGGAGTGTTCCGCCAGAAGTGACGCGTTCGCGAGGTCGAGGCCGTTTCCCCCCGCGAGAAAATCGGCACCGTCGATGCATCTTGCCTTCAAAGGGGACCCTAGGTGCTACTGCGCGATGTTAGTCGAAACTTAAATGAAAGTGCATTGTACTTACAAGAATTGAAGTTTCGACTCCATCCTCGGCGTGCTCCTGGGGGCCCAGCGGTTAAGCGTTGAGCTGAAACCTTGGCTCTGATATCCAAGTGTCACAGGATCGAATGTGTCGAGGTAAGGTTTGCTCAATGTTGCACTATCAATCAGTACAAGGTGCTTTTTATACTTCCAGAGTACATAAGGTAACCAGGTTTATCCTAACCAAAAGCAATAGACCCTTCTAGAAATAGAATCATCCTGCGTATAGCCTCGCGAGGCTATTGGCTTTAAGGGATTACGGCAGGATTACGCTAGATATAGCGCGCCAGTACATCCCGAGCCTGGTCGGTGATATAATCATAATAACAGGATAAACCAATTGATAATGGAAAAGGAGGAATAGGAAACCAAATGAGATGAGATAAAGACCACAGGAATCAGGATAAAAGAGGAATGAAATAGAAAGGAAATGTGGAAAGGGGAAAGTGGTGTAACGGGGTCGTACTCTCACAAGTACCCCAGAGGCAACCAACTGCTGTGGCGATGGCTTCGGCGGCGGCAGTCGCAACGACGGCTGCGGCGGCGGTCGACGGCTGCGACAGCGGTGGCGACTGCGGCTGCGGAGGCGGCGGAGGAGGGGACACTTGAGAAGGGGCAGGTGGCGAGGACTGCGCCACAGGACTACCAGAGTCAGTGACTTGGGACACACCAAAGGGGGCAGGACGGGGAGGGGAGGAGGGGCGGCGACGACTGGGGAAGGGGTGACCAGGAACAGGGGGGGGGTAACCGGGGGACCTCGGTGGGGGAAGCGGCGGAAGAAGGAGACGGACTCGTCAAATGTGACGTCACGGGAGTGAAAGAACCTATGAGACGGTGGGTGGTAGAAGTGCCAGTCAGACGCGTCAAGGGGGAAGCCGAGGAAGACACAGGGAAGGGTGCGGGCAGTGAGCTTGTCCGTGCCAGAGGCACGAACGTGAGCAAGACAGCCCCGACGCGGAACGCAGACGCGTCACCAGGTGACCCAGACCAGAGGAGGGTCGGCGAAACCAGAGGCTGCTGGGGGTGCGGCCACAGGTTAAGCTGGTGAGCGGCGTAGCGAACGGCGAACGGCCACAGTAATGGGGTGCACCGGCATGGATCATGGAGGTGCAAGCCACGCTCAGCGACCCCATTCTGCTGCGGGGAGTCCGGCAAGGTGAACGTCTGGGTGATGCCCTCCGCACGACAGAAACGACCAAGGACACCAGGCAAACTCGCCACCACGGTCGGAGTGGAGGCGCAAGACAGGGAGACCGCGACGGATACGCGCAGCGACAAGCCACGGGATAAGAACGTTAGGCACGTTGGCCTTCCGCTCCAGGGGGAACACAGTGGTGTAGCGCGTGTAGTCGTCGACAAGCACTAGGAAGTGCGCTCTCGACGCGGCCCATGGACGGGGGCGGGGCCCCAGACGTCATGTGTAGAGTCTGTAGCGGTGCGGCGGTAGGGGGAAACGAGGAGGAGTGAGGAGCACGGCGAAGCCGGCCCTCGACACAAGGCGTGCAAGGTGGGGCAGGGGAGGAGGGAAACTCAGAGAACGACCCAGGGAGGCCTAGGACGAGACCGTGCTGTGACATGTGACGAGACGCGGGAGCGCAGGGTGACCTAGACGGTGGTGCCACAGGAGAGTCGGGTGGGTGAGTGACCGACAGGAGCAGGCAGCAGCAACCTGGGTAGACGCAGCCACCTGAGGGGGGGTCCCAGCGGGGGGGTCACAGTCCAGTGTGAACAGTCCGGACACCGGGTCCCAGGGGAACGTGGTAAGGGGGGCACAGAGGCGGCCTCGGTACAGACAGCGTACCGCTCGTGACCAGGGAACGTAGTGGTGACGCCAAGGTCCTGGAGGCAGCCGACACCAACTAGGTTCCTGGAAAACGAGGGGATGTGCAGGCCTGTGAGAGAGCCCGAAGGAACCGCCGGGCAGGGGAGGGTGGTGGAACTGCGGCGACTACAGGGCCAGAGGAGGGGTCAGCAGAGACTGCGGCAGGGACAGGAAGTGGTGTCAACGTGGTGGAGTCGCGGAAGAAGCACCGGGAAGCGCCAGAGTCGAGGGTGAAGGAGAGCGCGGCAGTGGCGGCCGGAGGCGAAGTAGCGACGGAAGCACCAAGGCTAAACAAAGCAGGGATCCTACGCCTGACGCAGCAGGGGAGTCAAAGGAAGGCACACCTACACTAGGCAACAAGGGGTAATAAGACGGAAGCACACTAGAGTCATCAGCATACATCACATGCAGAGCAGCAACAATCTCATCCATGTCCAGATCAAAAATCTGAACCCTACAACGAAGCAAGCTGTGCCAGTCTGGGAGCTCGGGCGACGGGCCGAAACGCTGACGAAACAGGTCGTCCAGGCGACGGAAACAGCGGACGGAGGGTGACCGATCTTACCGCAAACGAAGCCACGGTGAGGACCGGTCTGAAGCAGGTACTGACAGCGGCACCCGAACCACCACTCGGCAGCCCACCACGCGCACCACCACCACTCCAGCGCTGCCACCAGCGCCGGGCCACCCAGGCGGAAGACGACTCGTCCGCCTCTGCTGCTGCTGCGACTGCTGCGGCTGCGGCGGCTGCGGCTGCTGCGGCTAGCGCGGGTCCGGCGTCAACACCGGCGACTGCTGAGACGGCTGCTCGGCTGCACCTGGTAGGGTCCCCGCGTCAGCACCACCACTAGGTGACCCAACTCCAGCACCACCTACACCCGCACCCCCACCCCCGTCGCCACGTCCAGCCTTGGGGCGGCGACCCTTCCCCGGACGAACCTGTGCGGCAGCGGCAGTCTCAGCCACAGCGACAGAACCGTCGGAGAAGGTGCACTGAGCAGGGGCACAACCCTGAAAGATAGGGACCGGCACAGTACCGCTGGTCTGAGCGATAGAGCGGTGGCGGGCCTCTATAGCGGACAGGGTGTCAACAAAGTCAGTGAGGGTAAGGTCTGCGGGGTGGACGCTAAGAAAGCGGTCACGGGCAGTGGCAAGACGGTCAGGGAGGCGGGTGGCTAGCAGGT